ACCGGGGGGGGGGGGGGGATTGCAGGATTGTGTAATGTTGGCTGGCAACGCTCCTTGGTTCCAGCACCTTGGTCTCCAAGGCTCAGCGTATAAGGTCACAGAGGAATTCTGAGGACGCTCTACCAACCTGGGTTGTGCTTAACACCAGTGAACCTGCAGTGGTCTATGTGGATGTGGAAGAGTTTCTAGATAAACGTATCAATAGTGCAGTGGCGTCAAGGGATAGTTCATCAAAAAACAAAAAAACATTTATTCACCCTCATGTTGTTCCAAAACTACACTCTTTAAAATTAGGTTCCAAAAGAGAGATTTTGTAGTGATGCCATAAAAGAACCATTTTTGGTTTCCCAAAGAGCCTTTCAGCGGACACTTCTTGAAAGAACCATTGTTTCTTAGTGTGAAGTACATTTAAAAAATTTTAAAGAACCCTTTTCCACTATAAAAGAACCTTTAGTGGTTCCATGGATGTTACGGTTCTTCATGGAACCATCAATGTCAATAAAGAACCTTTATTTTTAAGACTGTATATGACTTTCTTTTCCTCCGTGGAATACAAAAGAATATATTTTGAAGAACATTATGGTTCATTTACTTTTATTTACATTTTTTAAATACCTTCCTTCGTGTTCTGCAGAAGAAAGAAACATGAGAGAGATTACATATTAATGATGATTTTAATTTTTGTGTAAACTATTCCTTTAATAATCTGGAAACTGTCTGAAAAATGAGATTAGTGCTTACCCATCACTCAACCAATTTTATTTCTATGTGGTTGCTAATGAATTCTTATTGGTTGCTAGGGTATTGCGGGTGGTTGCTTACTGGCTGAAAACAAAAAAGCTACAACATAGATCTAGATATGGTTAAGGTTCTTCAATTTAAGTCTATGGGACATATATTGTAATTCTTCTCATTTCAAAAGTAAAAACAACAAGCCACATAATCTTGAGGCACCATTTCCAATATGCCTGTAGCACAAACTGTGCTGTTACTGTTAACAAAAACTATTAAACACCATTAATTGAAATAAAGCTGAAATAAATAAAAATATAATTATTTGATGAAAAACACTGAAAAGATTAAACATTAGAAATGCTACCTTGAGAACTAAGTACTAGTTCTAAGTACTAAAATGATTAAAACGGAAATAAAATTAAAGCTAAATAGAAATACAAAAAACTAATAAAAATGACAAAAGCACATAACAAATACATAAAGTTAGCAAAACTTAAACTAAAAAATAAATAACTTGAAATATAAAAATAAAAGCTAATTCAAAATATTAATATGAATAAATACCTATAAATGAATAATGTGGGATGAACAACACAGAAAGATGAACAAACCCTAAACTAGGTGTGCCCAGTTGGAACTGAACTCTACAGGATGGTAGATCTCCAGGAACAGGACATGAGATTCCTGCCCTAAATCCTAATTAATATTGACATTAGCCTTAGCAGTGCGGCTAAATAATCATTTCAGTGCAACTAAATAATCATTCATCAAGGAAATTAGATGATTTAAGTCTGTTCAGCAAACAGAACGAGTCATTAGTTTGATCTTTGAGACACTAGGAGACAAAAGCACAATTTCGGCACCTGTTCCTGCCCAATTTACTCTACAGGACATCTGGCACAAAACTTGAAATCAGTCAACTGCACTTGTGAGTAATAGAAGCCAATGATATGGTCAAACATTAGATGTAACTACACAGAAATTTACTATAAGATCTCAGCTCATGGAAAGTTAGGACAGGTTATGCTTATCTGTCTGCATCGAATCCTGTCAAAATGAGATGACGGTGGATGTGGTAAACCCTAACTGGCTTCCTGTCAGGCCTTAATGTTTAGTCTGTTGTCCTTGTGGTAAAAACAGTTTAACATACATTCAGAGTTTAGCACAAACAGGTCTGACTAGAGATTTTCTAGCACAATACATTCCACATCAGCTGGGTAAAAGGCAAAATCACCAAGTTGGCTGAAAAACAAGTTTCCATGCTGGTTAAGACTACAAAGGGTGTGGAGCTCTGGACTGTATTATGTAGTGAAGTAAAACCTCATGGCTTTACAATGCTGTACGTGAATAACAACTAGTGAATTCCCTTTCACAATAGGTTATAAAATGTCCCCATGCCAATCCACAGGTCTACACCCTTTCCTCAAAAAACAACCATAACAAGTAATAAACAATCGGTCTTTAGATTTTAAACATGATTTCTATCATTCACAGAGGAAATTGAGGAAGTGAGGTAAGTATTACACGAAACAAAACGTCAGAGACTCTGGACCGCCAATGTTTTTGCAAAACCCCAAACGGTTAACCATTTTCGGTTACCCGTCTACCAGGGTACAACGGGAAGTCATGCGGTACGTCCATCTGTACAGTAGAATAACACATTTTCAGAAGGTAGCACAGATTACCCACCTACACTCTTAAAGATAAAGGTTCTTTAGATGATTCAAATCTTCAAATCTTCTTCACACTAATAAAAATGGTTCTTTTACAAACTATTCACTGAAAGCTATTTGGGGAACCTAAATTGGATCTTCTATGGCATTGGTGACTGATGCCTTTATCTTTATTAGACAGACTCTAAAAAATATATACTACCTGTCGGCTGGGATGTGCTCCTTATTTTTAAACAGGCCTACCGTAAAACATACACACACATGCAGGATTGAGTACACTGGAATCTCTCTCTCTCTCTATCTATGCATCTATCTCATTTCAGTGGCAATTTGTCACTGGTTGAAAACAGACCCTATTAGTTCTCAACTCTGTAGATTTCCTCTCACTGCTTATTTGGAAAGAACCTGTTATCTGAACATCTAGCATCTGAACAGCGTAAGGCATGCTCTGCTGCTCTTAGTACCAGGTAGCATTTGAAAAAACCCTGACTGATGGCTTTCTGTCAATGGCAAAACAAGCATGCAAAACCTCAGTCACAATGAGTTTTACTACAGCATTTTGACATTTATATGGGTTATCCTTCAACAGAGTGCTTCTTTAAAAATAAGATGAAAAATACACTCATAAAAATAAATGTTCTTTATTGGCATCTATGAAGAACCTTTAACATCCATGGAACCTTTTCATTACACAAAAGGTTCTTAATAGTGGAAAAAGGTTCTTTGAATTATTAAAATGTTCTTCACACTTAAATAAATGGTTCTTTTACTGAACTGTTTACTGAAACGTTGGAACCCAAAATGGTTTTTCTATGACATTTGCTGTGAAAACCCCCTTTTGTAATCTTTATTTTTTGTGTGTACTGAAGTCTCTTTAGATAACAATTAACTGTGTTCCAGAACTTGTAATATGAAATATTCACATATATTCCAATATTATGATTTTTATTTTATTTATTGATTTAACTCTATAATCCAAATTAAACACCAAGCAATTGGGTTTTACTTACCTGAACAATGTCCAGAACCATGCCAGCTGCAACTGTCCCAAACCCTGCCAGCAGGAAAGGGAACAAAACCTGGAGTCCAATAGAAAAGGACGTTTCCTTTAGTGGAGCCGGCGGCACCGGGCTTTGGTCCGTACTAGTGTCATCACTCTCGTTGCTTTGGCTGGCGTTCTCCAGGAGCGCGTCCTCTTCCCTCTGGCCCTTTGCGTTGGCCCGACAGTCGAGGACCACCATGTCCGGCCGTTCGTTCTCCTGATCACTGCGGTCCGGTATGGAGGTCACTTCTGTGAGTTCGTACTCCCCGGGGGTCTGGGGCACCTCCTCTGGGCTGTCGGGTAGTATAACCGGATGGACCGACCCATTGGAGTGGTGGAACGCTGGTGGAGCCCCCTCCTTCTTCATCTCTATCCTTTCCGTCCCGGTGGACATGTCGGACAGTTTGTCTTGATCTTTCGACCAGAGTACCATGCGGAGGCCTTAGGATGTAAAATGTCAATTAAGAAGAAATTAAGAAGCTGGAGGGTCTTACTTGAGTTTAGATCAGCTGTTCACCTGATCTCTGGAGATAATTTATCCCATTAAAGACGGTTGGTGCTGATGAATGAGTCTACAGGTCGAGGAAGAGAGGCAGGTGCGTTCCCCGTCTCCAGGCTTGTGTAAGAGCCTGCCTGAACTTGGGTAGCATGCAAATTACGTTCCCCATTCAAAGCAAATTTTCCTTTAAGACATAACAACGGGAAAGCCACATGTTAGTCTGTGTGCAAAAAAAAAGCCAAGTGAAATATTCTTCATAAAATTGACAAAGCTGATGTCTCACAAGCACAAAATGTCACAAAAAGAATGAGAAAAATCGGTTTGAGGGTCCTAATGAACATCCACTGCTGGAGTCTCTGGGAGGCATTTGGCTAAAACTTTCTAACCAGCTCTGGGCAGTTGGAGGGCTGGAGATGTCTCACTTTACACCACGTGGTAAATTGGTTTTTGAAATGTATTTAAAGGTCTCTGGTGCCAGGGTAATGTTACAACTCACTGAAATGTCTGAGTCTGATAAGGTCGACTTGTCACCTGCCAAAGGGAACGACATATATTATAAGTTCTTAAATTATTTTAGCTCATAAAAATTCTACTCTCTTCAGCTTCATTCAGAAGTCATTGATATAATGTATCCATCTCAACCTACTAAATTGAAAACTTAGGTTTAATTACTGCCTTAATTTAAATGAAATTTGCAGAGTGATAAGCTCATTTTATGTAATGACTTAATAGGAAAATCGAGCTAAAATTCTGAAAACTCCTAAACATGACTAGAAATTACAACGAGTTCATAGACTATAAATTCAGTGGATGGAAACAAATTATGAAATTTCAACATTATAACATAATGAAAACAACAGTATAGATACAGCGATAGATAGAACGACAGATATAACAGATAGATAGATAGATAGATAGATAGATAGATAGCCACGGACAACAACTTTTGCAAACATTAAAAAACGGCTTCGTTATAGAGTTAACATGAAAAAACACTTTACGGCACGTATGAAGGCATTCACTTTCCGCCGGACGTACAAGTCTCAAAAACCGCCTAATACGTGATATTTTAGCATGACAAAACTTTCCGGGCGATTCTTCAGAGAAACGAACACCCACACACGTCTTTTCGGCACGGCAGAAGAAAGAGAGCATACGAGCCAACAACAATTTGCTCATTACCTCCACACTGAAACAAAATCCCTATTTAGTAGTCCGATCAAATCCAGCGCAGCATGGGACGACGTAAATTAACACGGCTCGGTGCCGCTTCGCTTAATCAACACCTCGCTCGTACATCCCTCAGTAAAGAAAGTTTATTCCGTTCATTTAAGACTTATTTAAAACTTCATGCCAATTGGAACAAAGTGACAAAAATACTTTTTTTTTTCAGGGCAAAACAGTACAAACTTCTGTAAAAGTACGTTCACTTTAAAAATCAAGGTTCTTCAGTGGTTCTGTCGAGCACTTTGGCATCAAGAACCTTCAGAAAAACATTTTGGATGCATAAGGTACTTAAGTAGTTATATGGTTTCGTTAAAGATTTAAAAAGTTCTTTAAAAACAAATGTACATTATAGGATCAGTGGTCTCAGGTTGCCATACAGTTTTCTGAAGATAAACTAGAGAAGTTCTTTGTGGAACTGTCAGATTCTCTTGCGGTGCAAGTGTTTTAGGTTCTGAATGGAACCCTTCAATTTAGAATTGAAGGGTTTAAAATTATAAGCGTGGATACACTTTAGTTAGGCAACTCACGTGTCATTTATGTAATTGAAACAGAGCTAATGAAGTATTCGTGTATATTGCCAATGGAGCAAAATAAATAAATTATAGTTAACAATATTAAAAGTATTAAGTTAACAGTATTAAAAGACCCAGGTAAAGTAGTAAATTAGTCACCTACCTTGTAAAGAAGACACTAAAATGCTCAATGCGGGCTTGCTGTCATTCTCCTGTCATTCAGGCGGATCTCGTGTCCTTATCTATGGTTATGGAGCCGGAACGTGATTAATCAGTAACCTCTCGACTGAGGCTGTCAACTCCGATCCGTTACATTGCTCCATTTGACACGCGCTCGATCCTGCGCTTCTATATGACAGGAGGAAGTCGTTAGGACGGCATCGCTGACGAAAATTACGAATCCTACTATGGAGAACGCTTAGCTCATGAATTTGTAAATAGCTCGCACAGGCGTTGCTTGGTAACCTTTCCGGAGCATCCAGTCACACAACGTAATTAATATGCATGAACCCACAGCCTTCGCCCTAGTAGGATTCGTTCCTTCGCGAACTGACTAGCGCACTCTTACCCGGAGTGTTCTTTTCAGCCAATCAGAAAGCCGAGCGTCACGGCATATAATTAACATTCATGAGACAAGCCTTCGCTATAGTAATCCGAGCAGGGATCGCGGGATTCGTCTGTGTTAATATGTGTTCAATTACAAGCATCAGGAAGCGCTGTTGATTTTATTTTAACAATACCCTGGATAATCATTGAAACTAAATGTTTGTCTTCCTGAAACTGTTTCCGAAGGCTGTAATTATTTACTGCACCCAGCGCACCCATATACAGGAAACTATTAAGGTATTCTATATATTATTAAGGTAACTTTTAACTATTAAGGTAACTATTCAATTGCAAGAAATAAATTTAGTTACATTTAGAAGCAATCTCTTTGTGGAAGGTTGTATTTGATCCATTATTAAAATACAGAGAGCATATATTTTCATTATAACAATATATCATAAATATAACATATATATAAATATACATGTATGTAACACACACACACACACATATATATATATATTCTTCTTTAATTGAAAAAAAAACATCTAATTTATAAATATATAAGCATATTTTTAAATACAAACAAAACGCATAGGCCTATATATACACACACACACACACACACACACACACTACCGGTCAAAAG